CTTTGAACTGAAAGAGGGGGGATTTAGGTCAGAAGTTAAGGAGAAATTTACTCAGAGGGTGGTGAGGCACTGGAATGCATTGTCCAGAGAAGCTGTGGATTTCCCATCCCTGGAGAAGCTCAAAGTGCAGATTCAATCTCACCCTGGACTGTCAGTCTAGCCTCATTACCAGAGCTCATTAATCAGACAGGAAACTTGCAGGCGCATTCCCAAAGCGACTGCTGAAAACTGAGAAAATACACTTCAGCCTTTCATGCCTCTGATACTGTTGGTGATACTTTAGTTCACAGAATCACAGAATAGTTCTCCACCCTTCATTTTAAAGAAGCTCTACCTCCACACACTATTAAAAAAAGTTACCTCTCCTATTATACCATGTAAACTCTTAATGAAATGTTGAGAAAAATATATGAACACAGGCGTCTTTTTGGATGTAAAGCACCAAGCTCCTCCATGTTTAAAGCACACCAAATAGCAGTTTTTGTCCCACAGTGACTTACTGCATACAGCTAACATACGTCAGAGAGCACAAAGCAAGTCTGAGATTTCTACCTACACTAGATCAGAAGAAGCAAAACTTTTCTTAATGTTTTTATTACACATCAGCATCTCAGAAGGCTCGATGAGTTATTTCTCAAGGGAAAAAACACAGATACAGGAAAGGTAAAAGGATGTGTTTGTTTTCATGTGAGTGCTGGTACACCTGGGTATCAATTTTAAAGCTCAAAGTCATAACAAGACAAGAAATCCAAATATCAGCCAGTATGGAGAAACAACTGACATACTGTGTGCAAACTGATTATTTTCCATTGCAGAGTGATGTCCATAGTCCATCACTGTACCTTTCCATAACTAACAGCACACTGAAAGTTTCATACAGATAGAGCTAAAAGATGACAGTGCTGAACTGAAAAATCCACGTGAAGTTTCGGAATAAATGTTGTGAAGATAATGGACAAAACAGACATCAATGCAACTTGAGCAGAAGAAAAAGAAGTGTGATCTGTGTAACTGATGAATTTCCTCTGCAAATCAGATAAATAAAAAAATAAAATAAAATAAAATAAAATAAAAGAGTCCTGCACAGAGAGAAGTACACTATAATGCAGTCTTTGCAATAGAGATTAAATAAAATATGAAAGTTCATGCAAATCAATATGCACAGGCTGCCTGGGCAGCCTGGTCTGGTGGTTGCCATTCCTGCACATAGCAGAGGGGTTGAAACTAAGTGATCATTGTGGTCCTTATCAACCCAGGCCATTCTATGATTCTATGAAATACCTTCACAGCAGCAATACTGATAACTAAAAACGGAATTAACATTAACATAGAATTGCATTTGGATCAGGACATCAGGTCAACTGAAAACAAACAAATAAAAAAAAAAAAAAAAAAAGGTTAAAAAAAATAACCAGACAACAACAAGAGGATGAGATTAACGGACTTCGGACTTTCAGATGAATAAAAGGAAGTGAGATGCTTAGGAACAGAGTTGCATTTGGAAATACAAGACCTTACATGGCTCAAAAAAGGAGAAGTAAAAATCAAACATCTTCTGGGATTCTGCAAGGAAAAGTAGGGTATATCAGAAGGTCATCTCAATTGCTGCTATAGAGATTAAGATGTACAGCTTGGAGACAGAGAACTTACAGAAGCAGTAATTTGGTTTTAATACATTGAGAAAATAAGAATGCAATTACCTATAGGAACAGGCAATGTTTTGTGCCACAAATGTGTTTTTTGTACTGTGTCTAACTTATTAGAGAACTAGCCTCCCACTCGAGCCCTGTTTCACTCACAAAGGTTAAATTTCCTCTGGAGAATACGGACTTATTACAGTTTAGCTGCCAGCTGCCACAACCTAAGCAACATGAGCTAGAGGGATTTTTTTTATAGTTTTTATCACGACTGCCACAAGGGAATGTTTTTCCACCTTCTTCCAGAGGCAATTCAAAGTAAACACTATAGAAGCTTGATACTATAATCACTGGTAAAGCAGCTAAGGCTAGGAAACATCTGCATGATATATGAAAAGAAAATCAAGGATTTTTTAAAGTGTGCATACATATCTTGGTCATGTTTCCATTCAAGCACTGTACAAATTATTATATTTAAACACATTTTACAAACAAAACAGGTACAGAGCATAAAATTCTTAACATGCCATCACATAAACTGGCATCACAGAAGTGACACATTAGAAATTGCATTTTCAGTTCTGATGTCAAACCTCCCTCCATCCAAAACACAAAACTACTAAGAAGACAGTCACCATTTACTGCATAACTATGGGACCAGTGAGATATAGATTTAAGTACCACCTTAAGTACTATAAGAGAAAATACAGCAGCATATCACAGAACGGCCAGGCTTGGAAGGGATCTCAAGGATCACGAATCTCCAACCCCCCTGCCACATGCAGGGCCACCAACCTCCCCATTTAATACCAGACCAGGCTGCCCAGGGCCCCATCCAACCTGGCCTTGAACACCTACCTCTAGGGACAAGGCATAATCACATGAAGTTAAATCTCTTAGCAGCACTACACTTAATTCCACAAATAAATACGGCCTGTAACATTACTCAGACTTTTTCATCCATCTGTATTTTGAAAGCAGTTGTGTTGCTGATCCTCACTCTTACTGGAAGGCTTCTTCAAAGACACCTGCTAATGCCCCAGGTATTTCCAAATTTCCTGCCTTGTGAAATTTGAGTTAATTCAAGACCAAGTGATACTTTATTGCACTTCTGACATTTCAACAAAACTTAAGACAGTTATATGAACATTCCACTTAGTGCTATTTCAGACCTAATCTACCCATAACATTACTGTCAACATCTCCTAATGTGGAAACCTCGAAGCAGATTACTGCATTCATATTCAGGCATTGCACAGATTTCAAGACGCACTGTAAACTCCGTGGTTTCAGAGCTGTGAGCAATGGTGTGGCAAAGAGCCTCATCCTCACCCACAAGTAGTTGTGAAAGTGAGTACCAGCAAACTGCCTCAAGGTTGAGGTTTCCATGTCTCACAGTCTCAATTACCAATCGGCTCAAAACTGCAGAATGCTCCGTGCCTGCTATAAAAATTCTGCTTCTCTCAGTGGTCTTTTATTCACCTGGGAGTCACCATCCATCACCTCTCTCTTCAGTTCCACTTATGAAAATGGCATCAGCCTCAAGCCTCAATTTTTACTCTTATCCAAAAGATTTTATCGAGTAGTAGCTGAAACTAGCAAAAGATTTGTCTAACTTTAAGAGGTCACATCTTAGGAGCCTGCTTAACACATTACTCATAGTGCTACACCCCTCACTGACAACAGCAAATAAAGAATTCCCTGTGCAATTACACAAACCAGACAGCTCTTAATAATTTTTAAAAATATTTGATTTTACTTAGTCTGAAAATAAAAATCTACAGAATGCTTTCATGCTTATTCCCTGATAAAACCATTTTGAAAACATCATCCAATCTTTGAAGCAATATTTAAAATAACAACAGAACTGCTTGAGTCTCTGTAGTATTCAAAATTGTCTCTGTAGTATTCAAAATTGTACAAGAAATGCATGTTCTTTACACATTATCATTGGAAATATGTTTTCAGCTTACTTAATACTGCAGATGAACAACGAGTAGCCCCACTCCAAGGAAAAAACATAATGCAGAGACTATTGCCCATGCCAAGAATTGAAAAAGGATAAAACGAAAAGCAACCACCCACTTCAGTTATCACTGTATATCATCTCTTTCATGCCTAAACAGCACTTGAAATCTTTTTCTCTCAATTCATCACGTGATAGATAAGCTAATCCTATGTAGTTCATCCCTCAACGAATACTGTTCTCCGTGTTACTGCCATACTGAAGGAGAAACAGACTGCTTCAGCACCACCTTCATCCCACTCCATCCATCAACAGGGCTCAGAACCGAGTGACAGTGCTCAAACCCTCAGTAGGAGCATCTCCTCTACCTGCTGCAGTGCAGTGTCTGTGGAAGCAGACCTCCTTCTCCTCAGTCAGGCTCGACCTGCTGTGCTGAGAGAACCTCGTGTACACAAGGCTTTCCCTGTCTAACCCACCAACACAACACTAAGCAATTTATTAACTCAGATTTGGTGTAGCACTGCCGGAGGGGCAGCTCTCTCCGAAACACCTGCTTGCACGTTTCCAGGATGACTCCTCTACCCTCCTGCACTCTGTAGAGCCATCGGGTCAGCTGATGCACCTGTAACAGATCCAGCACCCTCAGACTGATGCTTCTGTGCACAGCAGTAGAAGGTGATGTTCCAAACACACACAGACGACCGCACGCTCCACAGCAATCCCCCACCGGGCACTTCAACTCCACCCCAGGCCTCTGCAATAGGACCACCGATTCCTGAGACCCGCCCTGATCCATTCAAAGGACCTCTCCGGAGTCGCCTAGGCCACGTCTCGCCTCCGCCTGAGCTCCATAGCAGAGGAAGGCCGGGACGGAGCACCGGACCCCCACCCCCCATCCACCGCTACCCATCCAGACAACGCAGCCCCACTCACCTCGCTTAGAGCCGGGGCCGGGAGTGCCGCCGGTGCCCTTGGAGCCCTTGCGGGAGGCCATGGCGCCTCCTGTCAGGTAACGTGGGGCGGGGCTAGACCGGGAATGAGTCAGGAGCCGCCGCCGCCCGAGCGCTGCGTGCGGGAGCGCCGGCAACCTCCGCGGCCAAGCGCCGGGCACGCCCCCTTCCCTCCCGCCCGCAGCCTCCAGCCAATGGCGGAGCGCACAGGGCGACGGGGCGTGCCCTCTCTCTGCGCCGATTGGCTGCGAGGCGGAGGGGTCGGGCAGAGCGGCTGCGTGAGGGCTGCGCGTGTCCGCCACGCTCCCCGTCGCCGGCGGCTTTGAACGTGGCAACATGGAAGCGGGGCGGCCTCTCGCGAGGCTTCGCTGGGAGCGCGCGGAGCTGAGGGCGGGGTCTTACTTTGAGGGGTGGGGGCAGGGGTGGCGGGCTCTTGCATGGCTGCAGTGGTGGACCGTTGTGCTTTGCATTCTTCGGGTGTTTGTACCCCACTCTGCCGGCCGCTAAATGCCCGAATTGTGGGCAATATCTTGTTAAAAGTATGAATTATTAAGTGGTTAAGCGTGCAGGTAGCACCTCTTCAGCTCAACTGGGAAAGCAGTTTGGCACATTACGTCTACGAGTAAGTTCTCAAACAGGCTTACGAGCCTTTGGAGTGTTTCAGTCTGTCGTAAGCGAGCCCTTTTTTTTTCCACAGAAATTCAGGTTGTTTCTTGTTACTCAGTGGTTTGGTGTGATGGTAAATTGCATCTGAAATGAAAGCAAACTCACCTTTGAGCCCTGAGTGTAAACATGGTGTTCTAGCCTGAAACAATAAATTACCGAGCAGAGTTAATAGGTTATTCTCTATGAGATTGAACGTAGATGCTTCATCCTGTGGCAGAATGGCATCATGGTCCTTTAGGAGTAAAGATGATTCCACAAGCATCAATGTGAAGCCTGTTCTGTGGTGTCATTTTCTCTAAAAAAACCAAAATCTTGTTTTTCACACTGTGTGGAAGGAACTGATGTTTTGGAGACGTGCTCCTTTCATCTGGCAAGGCTGGAACTGGCAAACAAATTCAGAATGTTCAGGAGGAGCAGACAGAACCCCCTAGCACATACAGTTTGTCACAGATATGCTATTGGGGACAATAGCTATCATTCCAACAGCTGGCAATATACAATGCAAGGAAGAAAAAAATCGTTCTAAAGATAGCGATTGGAAATTGACAATTTTTCATTGTGCTTATTTAAAAAGATAATAGGAAAAAAAAAAAAAACTGCATGCATGACTATTCTCATATGTGGTGGATACTATCAAATAAGAAGGCGGTTTCCTGTGATTAGTGTGGGATGCAGCTTCCTGGAGCTGTGCTATAGGATCTGGCATTCTGTTAAGAGATATGAAGAACAAGTAAGCAATTGGGTGCATTATTTACTGCAGAACAAACTTTTAACTGTAAATGAGCTGTAAAATTCCTACTTCTGTTTTAGTGGTATGCAGATGCCAGCATTTAGGTGCTGGCGTAGTCAGTGTCTGCTTGTGCTTTCCTCCATCCAGGTAGGCTCTTGCAGAAGAATTAAAGCATATATACTGAGGTTCGACTATTTAGAGCTACTCTGTATCTTTGTTCTGATCTCCAGCATTCTGCGTCACATTGTGGTTCAAAGGTTTCTGGTGACTTCCTGTAGCATCAGAAAGCCAATGCTCAGATAACTCTAAACAAATGTCAAAGATATGAGGAGATGCAGTCTTGCTGAGATGAGAGAAACTTTCCTCGTATTCTTGCCTAATTCTGATCACATACTTTAAATCTGATCGTGAAGCATGGCTGTAGAATAAACAGCCTTTCAGGTCAAGTTAGCAGAAAACATTAGTGCTGGTTTCCCTGTTGTGGAAGCATGTGGTCCATATTTTGCTATTGGAGATGCTTGGGACAGCTTGGTATGGCTTATTCTTGAGTCAGAAATGCTTGATTTAAATGTGTTGGAGTGACTGTTGCAAGAAATAGCATGGTAGTCCCTCTGTTTCTACATTTCAGTTGAAATGTAACACGTTAGATCAAGTTTTAAATGTAATTTTAGGATAGGTAATGGAGTGAAAAGCAAACCGAATGCAGGTATGTGAATGTGTGTGGGTCTGGCTTGTCTCAGTTTTCAATCTGCTTATTTCTTTTAAAGCTAAATGTTTGGTAGATGGTGATAGAATACAGTAATTCACAGGAAGATAAATATTGTATTTGTAGGAGGAAATAAGACACTAAAACAATGAAACAATGAGGAAGTTTATAAAGCAAAGGTGAAAAGAAGAGAAAAAGCCAGAGAAAAAAATTAGAATAAAACCAGAAGTTAAGTAATGAAGGCAGCTGCAGTGAGTTGGAGTTTCTCCCATTGGATCATTTAAAGCAAAAAAAATAAAAAACCTTTCCTGTTGACAAGAACTGCATTTACCTCAAATACAAAATGTCTTAACAGGCTGCTGATTGAGACTACAGATAAAGTAAAGTTATTCTGCATAACATAAATTATGGTATTGCTTTTACTTTGCATTTACTTTCCATAAATACTTCTGCATTAATGCTGTCACAGCTGTTTTGAGGCTGAATTCCTTTAACAGAGCAGTGACTGTGCAGTTTGATGGAAAGAAGCACATCCAAGGTGATAAGTGGAAGCAGCAATGAAATAATTACTTAAGAGGAGGACTCTATCTCTAATTTCCAAATTTCTAAAAGAAGCAGAAATATACAACTGGCCTGCAGCAGGGAGAAGAGATGCTAAACGATGAGGCATGATGAATTTGAAAAACAACAAAAAACAAGTGTGACACCTGCTTAAAACAAATGTGAATTTAGCCCAGCATTTTTCTCTTCTCACAGATACAGAAAAAAAAAAAAATTAAATTGACCATCGTCTGTACCAAACTTGCTGTAGTTTGCTGATTTTTCACTCATGCTATATTGATAGTTTTATTTCCATTCATGATTTCTATCAAATTCTTATAAAAAGCCCTGAACGTATCATAAAGGTATCTGTTACTCTTCTGCAAGGCCATTATGTGTCATTATGAAAAAAAGTAAACAGACGTTAATTGAAGACTTAGACAACATGCCTTTATTCTGTTGGTGATTCTGAGCTATGTTATGTAAATGTTTTCCATTCAAACTGAGTTACAGTTGCCCACTGGACTGTGTACATTTCTCATAAATAGTTAAGTTTCAATTAATCATTAAGGGAAAGGCAATTTTCTAGATTGAGGAAACAAGCGTATTTATTACAGTGCATTGCAGTATGAAGAACTGGAGAATTCTCAAATAGGAAATTCTCAGGATGGATGTGTTAAAAAATTAAAATTAAAATAAAATAAAAAATAAAATAATAATAATAATAAAATAAAATAAAATAAAAAATATGTTAAAAATTCCCTGCAACCGTCTAAGATTTTTGATAGTAGATGTTGGCATTTAGAATTGTAAGGTGGCCAGATGGTAATTTTTCCTAACTGGTAAGTTAACTGAGCACCCTGCTAGACAATTGATGTTTCTGCCAGCTGACTTTTAGATCAAAGAGGGTGATGCACAAGTTTTGGTGTTTGTTTTCTTGTTTATCAAGTGATCTGCTGATCATCTTTCTGGTTTTTAATGCTGCAGGGAATGCAGAGAACCAACGCCCACTTCTCTGTATTTGTCTGTCAGTATTCACTAACCTCTTATAGACAAACAGAGACAGAAGTTTTGGGAAGAAGGGGATGATAGAGTGTCTCAGTTACCTGAGCATAAACAACTATGCTGACTGGAGTGATCTTCTACCAGGTAAGCCTGTAAGCAAAGGAGGGTGTATTTGAGTTGGTAATTCTCAAGGAGGAATTTTCCTTTTTTTTTTTTTAATATTGTTTTTATTATAGAAGGCAACTACCTTGGAATGTTTTCTAAATAGGGACAGTGAAAATGGAACGCAGCCCTTTATTGAAGAGCAGTTCGGAAGGAATAATTATCCAAAATGTAGGAAGTTGAGCCAGGTGAAACATGTCTAATTCAAGCAAAGCTAAAGTTGAAGCAACGTTTATTTTAAACTTGGTAAGGTTAAATGCAGACCTTTCTAAAGTCTGGATCAAAAGCCTGTTTTTGCTCTCAGAAAAAAAGCGTTGCCCCTCACAATGAGTAACAAAAACGGAATTTGACTTTTGGGTCAGCACTGTGGCTTGACAGTCTGGAATTTATAGCTATCTTGCTTGGCTTCTGAGAGAGAGTCTTCCTGCAGATTTTGTCAGGTCTAATTTATCTAAATTCCCTGTGAGTATAATTATAGCTGAGAATTTCTCAGGTTTCTCAGAACAAGTTTTTGAACTTGAAATTTAATCAAATCCTTTTGTTACATCAGTGTGTACCAACATGTGGATTTTATTCCTGTAGCACGAGAAGCTGAGAAGAAAAGGCCAAAAGTTTCTTTGTATGCCTGTAAAAGTTACCTACGATATATATTTTGAAAATTATCATCAGAAACTGGCCTTGAAAGAGCCTTAAGCTAGAAATAGTGCTTTTCAGATGGATTGTGAGCAACTGATAAATCTAACAGTGCTAAGCACAGGTTATTCAGGTGTAAATACTAAAACAAACCAGCATTAGTATTGGAGAACCTTGGATAACAAACAAAATCCCTATTGCAATGGGAGCAGGAGAATGGAGCTTAGTTGATGATTACCAGCATGTGCTATGATAGCTATTACTGAAAACAGTAGAAAAAATAACAAACAAGATACTTTACTGCCTGTGTACTGTCTGCTTCTTTTTCCAGAGACTTAATATTTTTAGTAATGAGCACATGAAAACATCAAATTTATTTCTAGCCTGCAATCACATTTACTAAAACTGCTGTACAGACTACAGATAAAGTAGAGAAGCAGAGATATTGAAAGATCATCTCAGTTGGGAGAAAAAAAAAAAGGAAAAAAGAAAGTTGATCTGAAGCTCTGGTGATGTGTTTGTTTTTTTTTTTGTGTGTGTGTGTGTGTGTTTTCTGTTTTTTTAAAGAAAGAAAAGAAGTACTTCTCATAAATTAGGGCATCATTCCTGGAGGATGTGCAGATAGGAGCAGAAGCAGCAGTGCACTTATTAATTAGGTTTTTCTGCTGCATCATACTTTACTGAGAGTGACTGAGCAGCTTTCCAGAATTGATCCAGAGTATTCTTATCAAGTTATAATCAGCCACCATCTGTAGCTGCCGACCCCAAATGCCAGTTTGCTTTGCTTACCTCCACATTTTCTGATATACTAATCTATTGAATTTGGCACATCGGAAAACAAAACAGCGTGTTCTGGGAGCAGTAGAATACAAGATACCTAATTTGCTGAAGATTTCTTTCCTTTGTCTCTCAAATCCTTCTTCCACCTCAGCCTCAGTCGTTCCCAGCTTCTGCTAAGTGCTGATCCCTGTGGGATGTTCAGATAACATGTGCTATCTGATTAATGCAGAGCTTTGTGACTGGCATGTTCTGGTATAGCTGGCCAATACATACTTGCTGATCAGTCAACCTGCTGTAAATTAAAGAGCTACGTTCTCTCTAATGAACTTTATTTATAAATAAATACCACTCAGGTTTCTTCAACATATAAAATGCATTGCAACCTTCATAAGCTTTTACGTACTTAATCTTTCCAGAAATAAAGCAGGTAAGCTTAACTGTATTTAAAATAATTGAAAAATTGAAAGCACCTGCAGGAAATGGGTGAATAATAGCTGCTGTTGGTAAAGATCGGAAGCAGTAGAGCTTTCCCTATGAGAGATCTTCTCAGCACAAAGCACTTGCTCACAGGTTCCTTCCTTGCAGGCAGTTTCAGTCTGGCTGTACGATCAGACGAAGGCAGTAAATAGGATGACTAGTTTTCCCTTCAGAATTGGACTCTTTGCTAAAGCAGAACTGATCAGAACTCACACCCAAGGCTTTGCAAGTCATATCATCAGCACATCCTATAGCACAGACACATACTGCCAAAGGGATTTTCCTGGCCTTCGTAGTGTACTTGTGTCAAGGGCAAAAGTGAACACAAGAAACGCAGGATGCAACCTCAGTATGGTAGTATTGGTATATCAGATAGCACTAGCCTTCCTGCGACTCCTATTAGCTCCTTCAATCGGCAAAGTGAAAAAATAAAACTTAAAGTTGATATTTTCATTAAGTAACTTTTATTTTCATTTCTCTCTAAACCTATTTCTTTTCCAGTGAAATGTATATGGCAGTTGAAGAACTGTAACTTAATCATAGGATCCTGACACACCCATGACCTTACATTCGTTACGCAAGTGAATTTCACAGTTGAATTATTCCTCGTGTTTCATCCATTAATCTGTGGAGCCCAATGGTATGAATAGAACATGGACAGACCTGAGTGGAGTTGGCACTGTATGTTGATGCCTCCTTTGAGATAAATAATGATCTTTTTTTTGGCATGTTTACTGTCTGGTTAGCTCTTGGTGCATTCCTATAAATAAGGTATTTGAATACTTCTTTTTTAAGCTGTAATTTTTTTAGATGTTCAGCAATAAACATTTTCTGCCAGCTGTATGCTTTCAGGAGCTCAGCTTCGATTTCCCACAGGTATCTCTTTTCCTCCCACTGGAGCATAACACTTTAAAGTCTTACTGTAAAGTCTTACTGGCTTGTCTTACTGTTTAAGTACTCCTTAAATTTTTGATGGTGGGTGTCTTTGTCCTTCTTGTTTGTGTTTAAATTTTTCTGTGTATTTCACTGTAATAGTTCCAGAAATTTCCACGAAAAAAAATTACACTGTAAGGGCCAAAAAAAGATTACAGGACAAAAAAAAATTACACTGTACTCTACTTACACTGTAGGGAACCTACTTTGGCAGGGGGGTTGGACACAATGATCTCTGGAGGTCCCCTCCAAACCCTACAATTCTGTGATTCTGTGATACACTGGGCTGATACAATTTGTACATGGTTGCGCTTATTGACAAGTAAAACCTGATTTCTTGCAAGCTTTTCAAACTGAAAGAGCAATTGCTTCATCTGTTTAAAGTAATGGGCATGTTATTTGTTGTTTGGGTGCAACATAACTCAAGCAAACACTGAACTTTAAGCACGGCAGTGGATTATACATAGGGTGTAGTAATCCTGTCCCCCTTCAGAGAGAGACAGGAAGATATATTTGGGAATCCGAAGAATAAATTCTGTGACATAGGAATGTGTGGTTACTTGTGCTTAATGTGACATAGCAAAAGCAGTTGAAGCAGACAACTGTTTCCAATAAAAATGCTATTTTGTGTGATAATATTTCCTAAGAGGACATTGATTTCCCCTGTCAAAAGCTGCAAATAAATGGGTTGCAAATGTCTTTGACAATATGTAAGTAATTAATATTTGCTGTGGTGAAATATAAGCAATATTAGAGGTGTATGTATTAGGCCATCTGAACGGGAAAAAGCAAAGGCTGAGTCCAAAATACAACCGAAGTGGGGAATGAGAGCCAGAGACAGTGGGAACAGGAAGTCTGATGGTGTTTGTTAGAGGCTGTCTGGTCTTTGTGGGATGTAAAGCTGCCAGCTGTCAGTTCCACCTGGCAGATAGAATTAAATGCCTTCTTCTAGGCAGCAGTAGCAATAAGTCCCAACAAGTTGGGTATCTTGTAGGTGTGGTGGCCATGGTTGTGTTTCCTCTAGATAACGAAGAAAGACTTTGCTGTCAAAGTACACCGTCATCCTCAATGAAAAGTCTTCTGTTTCACAGGTGCATAGTATCAGTTGTACTGAAAGTTTTTTATTCACTATTAGTAATTCTTGTTACACCGTATGTGGCCCTTTATGCTGTTTGATGGTGTGAATTCCTTTTGAGGGAGCCCATCTTCTTGTGTGTTTGTATAGTTCTTAGCTTCTACAGAAATACCAATGAGAAACAACTCAGTTGAGTAAGGGCAGAATCTGGCCTGTGGCATTGATTATCTTCTTCCTACATGAAATTTGTTGGTGTAGCTCCCATAGTGGCTCTATGATTGTGTCACAAAGAGTTGAATCATGCCAGCTCTAACCGGTAAACCTTAGTGATTTATATCTGTGAAGTCTCTGGCCATAAGCTTGTAGCCTTCAAGTCATGTTAGCTGTTTTGGAACGTACTCTCCTGTGGAATCTTACAAGAAAACTGCCATTAAATCTTCCTTTAGTGTAAAAATGTCAATTTTCTATTATGCTTTTTCGTCAAAGTTTTTGTTTGTTTCTTTAATGCAAATTCAATTACCTGTTCATAGTAGAATTTCCACTGACTTCAGTTTGGGAAGTCAAGCTTTAGATTTCTGATATTAGCTAATAAGTTGCTGTACAATCTGTGCCATTATCTGTTACTGGTAGGTGGAAGGCAATGCTGTAAAAACCCAATTACGCTGCCCTGTGAGATTTAAATGCAGATATGCAGGAAGATGGTAATATGAACCTACAACACCTATCACAAAACATCAACTGAACTAGTCAAGTGTTAAGTCTGATGCTGAAAAGAAGAAATCTTATTTCAAGAACTTGTTTGTTTTACTCATGACTGGGTAATAAAATGACATGAATGGTAATTCAGAAAAACAGCCCTGTGAACCTTTAATACTGTGTATGCTTATACAATTGGAGCTATATGATTTTTTAATGTAAACATATTTGGACTTTGGCATGAAACAGGGGTGGATGAGGAAGCCATGAAAGAGTAGGCAAGGAAGGGCAATGAGAGCAGAATTAGGGAATTTTATTTGCTGCAGTTAAGGGGATGAATATGAACCAACTAGTTCAATTTGCTCAAACCCATGTCAACTCCAAATATGTTTTGCTAAATGGTTTTAATTGTTCATAATTACATTTTTATAAAGTTTGAGATGTGGGTATCAGGTGGTAGATACCAGAAGAATACACAGTAGTAAACAGTTCTTAACTCCAACAACTTACTTTGCACAGGAAGGACAGGTAGTAAAAACGAAGAAAAGATGTAAAACACACGTGTACCCAAGATTAGTGTGATGTCAGCTGAAATGGTGTATCCATTGGCATCTTGTGGTGAGAGTTAGTGGTTGTTTGAAAATGGAAAATATTGGGATATTCAAGGGAGTGTTGGGACCACTGAAAATATTGGTATCCAACATGCTTATGGTCAGTGAAGCTGAGGAGATTGATTAGATTGATGGCCCTGTACTTTATTAATCCAAAAGTATTAAAATACAGTCAATGTTCTGTTTGACAAGTAGATCCATCAGACTTGTTGATATGGCTATAGGATGTTGCTCTGACAAAAAGATGACAGGTGTTTTTCTTTCTCTTTCAGAAGTTTTTTTTCATAATTTCATCTCACAAAATAGAGCAGCCTACAGGTGATGGATAGCCTTGCAAACAGCTGAGTTCATGTTTTGAACCCCTATTTATGCAGGTGTTCCACCTGCAGCATCCAAATGTGGACCAGCTGGGGCTTCTTCATAGTAGGCTTCCATTTCCACTTGAGTTACCGAGAACAAAAGGATAGACCTTAATGCACTGGCAGAAATGTGCTGAGGGATCACAAGAGGGAAGAAGACCCGTGATCACAGCCTCTGTGAAGGCAGATAAGTTTTTGAAATGTTATTTATAAGAGAAGGGAAATTGCTTGCATCCTATCTCCACCTGGAAGATCATTGTCCAGACCCATGGGGAGAAACTGCGCAGTGGCCAAGTGAAACCACAGACTCCTTTGCTTGCCTCAAATGTCTTCTTGCAGACAGATCTGCCCACTTCTAGCTTTGCATCATCTCAGGATCCTGTAGTCTAAGTGGGATCTCTTAAGCCATAGCAAATCTCAAACCCTGCCTTCAGTGATCAGGAAGTTATTATGGAAGCAAGTATCTCTCCTGCAACCTCTGTGTTTTCCTTCAGTCCAGCCTACTCCAGACTCCTGCACCAATCTTCCCCTGCCCTCTAGCCTGAGTTTTAACAAGATTTTCTGTTAATACAGAACATGGTTACCCATCTGCTAATAAGCAGACTAAAGTTGGTTGTTGGGGCTTCAGTGAATCAGCCAACCTCACAGTAAACTTGGCTGGCTGATCCATATCCAATACAGATAAATTGTACTACACCTAGCAGTATCAGCCACCTTTTATTTTCCTGTTCAGTGAGTGAGAGCTTGCTGTTGCAGAAACATTGTATGGGTACTGGCAAGTAACAGTGCATTTCCAACAACTTCTAGTTGTGTGACAGGAGCAGCAGTGTCTCTGTTGGGAGAACCCAGTGAATGTGCAGTGTTGGTTCTGGCACTCCCTCCTATTTCAGATTGTTGATAAGCTTTTCCTCTTAAATATTCGTAGGTTTTTAAATTAACAGTGAAGTATTTCTTTTGACCTATAGATAAGTAAATGTCCCAAGGTTTATCTGAGAATGTTTCCCAAGACTGAAATAAGAAAATAAGGTAGCAAGGGAACTGTTTTCCAAGATCTGTGAACTGTATGAGCAACTTGGCCTGACTGCAAGGCTGGCATTTCTGCTCACCCCTATGACCATGAGAAATTGGATATTTAGTGGGGTTTGCCAGTGGGAAAATGGAAACTGTGAGGAGTAGGAAAGTGTATTTACTTTAAATTCGCACTGAATTGTCTGACTTGGTCTAAGGAAGATTTATTATTTTGTTTATGTATTGTGGATGGCTTTTAAGAGTTCACCAGTTCATACAACATTGTAAGGTGGTTTTTAAGTCATGCTATCTAGTAAGTAAAATCCATTTTACTTACCATGCTATCTGGTAAGTAAATTACATAACAAAGGAATACACAGCAAATGATAGTTAAGAAAATATTTTGTATTTATATACATACATATATCACAAGTTTTATTTATAATGCTAAGTTTATTCACCCAAGGGTAAAGCTGTGCATTTTTATTTGTATACTGTGCTCATTTACAGTGTCTGTGGATGATGAAAATAGAATACGCAATGTACAGAAAATGACCTTGGAATACAGCTGCATATTTAAGTGTGTAATAGGACTGCTTTCTTTCTCAAGCACAGCAGTGAAACTTCTGACAGTGAGATAAGATAATAGGATTTGGTATACCAAACCAGCTCTGTTGTCTACATAATCTACCCGTGCTGATAAACTTCTGCTTAAGAAGCCAAAAGACAAACATCAGAGCGGGTGACACACAGAGGCAGCTGCTAAAGTCTACACGTGGGGAACATTTCTTTCTAATCTTTGTATGTGATCAGGTTATGCCCTGACATGGGACCCTGGAGTGCTCATGTTACCCTCAGCTGGCTCAGCAGTGAGTGCTTTTGAGTTGCCAACTCATCATCCATCTCCTCACAAAACTTTGCAGTCCATGTGTTGCATGCTCATGCTGTAGGAAATGCAATCTTGCTATTTTAAATTAAATCCCTCTGTGTTAGATTGAGTTGTTTTAGTTTGAAAGGTGAATCATTACTTCTAATTCCACAAAACAGAAGCTTGATTTCATTAGGAACTTCTTCATTTTCTGGAAGTGTAGCTTTATTTTTTTCTCCAGCTAGAGAATTCTAACCTTAATTATTCTGTACTGATGGAAAAACTTGGTTTTACACTGGCTTTATTTTTGGCCTTTTCCCCTTCTGAACGTTTACTAACTTTAAGCTGAAAGAGGAGTCTGAATGCCTTCAAGAAGCTTGTAATATTGATAGAGAAACATCACAGTAGGGAGAGACAATTAGATGTTCAAAACCAAAGACAAACTTCCTCCTGTATCTAATATAATTTGCATACATTATTGTGTTACTTATTTTTAGTTCCACACAATACTATTTTTTTCTGGTTTAGATGTGCTGTTAGGTTACTATTTTATACTAATGAGAGACAAATAATAATGATGTTTTGCTTTGTTTTGGGATTAGAGAATGAGCAGGCTGGGAATTCTGAATTAAGAATCGTATTGTAGATTGACACGGTGATTTCTGAAGGTTCCAGCTCAAATTTTTCTATTTGAGAAGACAGACAAGATCAAACCAGTGGCAGCAGCCTTGGAGGACAAAGAAGATGAACAGTAGTTGCCCAGTGCTAATACCAAGCTGATTTGCTGGAAGGGTAATTCTAAGTGTAGCTCTTTTACCCAGGGAGGCAATACCCGCACACTGCACAGCAGGCAGCAGTGGCCGTTCATGTCTCAGATACAGCTTGTGTAGAGCATCACAGAGCAGAACTGTGTGCTACACATGCAGATGGACTGAAAGATGTGAAAAAAGGCCAACTTCAACAACTTCGTGGACACATGGACACAATTTTTTGTGTGACTAAAAGGTAGCCCAATAAAATACAAATGTTGTTACATCCATACTTCAGTTAAACAATAGATTTTGCTCCTTTTATTAAGTATATGGCTTATCAATGTGTACATTTAATAGAAAGATGGCTTTGCACCTTTTTTCCTCACTTATCACTTCTTTCCATACTTTCAGCTCTCACTTTCCCAAAGGCTGGCTAAGACAGAAACATGGTAAATGTAAATAATAAACATGCTAACCTAGCAAACTAATGCAATATGTTATTGGGCAGAGGAGGAAACTTCATTGGCCAGAGATCCTCCAGCTGACCCAAACTGGTATGTTTTAAAGGTGTGGGAGAGTGAATCGTGATCATTCTGCTTTTAGCCCAGAGCCTGGCCTACTCAGGGCACTTCAGATGACTGTGTCCAGCAGGGTGGCTGACCATAACCTAAATAAGGTGACCAGAGGCATTATTAACATTGGGCTGCTAAGCAAATGTGTTGATCTGTGTTCCCAGAGATTCTTAGCTTTTGTAGCTAAGCAGGAACAGGCAGGTGGTTTAGTTTCTCAGTTCAGAAGCACAATTCTTGGTGAGGATTTCAGCAGGTTTTCTTTTAGGAGAGAGAACCCGTAGCAGACTGCACCTCATCTTTATCATCCCAACACTTCCATTAGCTATGTTTATATGCTGCATCTTTTATTTGCCTACTATCTTGTTTGCATTTTTAATTGCCGTTGTGCTACTGGGTTAGAAGAAGGAATTTCTGGGAGAAGTTGTACAATCAGTCTTGCACAGAGATTGCAGTAATGTGATCACTGATGCAATCATTTGGGCACGGATCTTTTCTGAGCTTCTTGAGTTTTTTTCCTATTGAAGGTACCGAACAGATTGCTGTGTATGT